AATATTTTTGGTAAATTAATGAACGGTATTTAATGAAATTGTATTTTTTTGAACAATGCAATATATGGAAAAAATGTCGTGTGACGGTTTTTTGGATTCACCCGGATTTTATCTAAAAAACTATTTTTATTTTACCGAAGCACCTATCCAACAGTTTATACCAACTCTTAATAATGACTTAAAATTTAAAATGGTGTCAGGACATTCATTCATCAGGCAAGAAGTAAGAAACAAGAAATAAGTAATTATCGAAGTTGTTATTTTATTATACATTTTTATAATGATTGATATCCAAGTAAATATAGCATGTAGTTTATATTATACTGTCCATTTTTATATATGATGATTAGGAAACAACATATGTNTTTAGTTTATTTTATTATTTAAAAAATACAAATAAGATTTATTAAGTGTGTATATTTTTATTTTTAATTTTTTCTTAGAAACAACAAACAACATTAAAATCTCGGTCTCTATATTTATAAAATCTCAATTCAAAATATAACAAAAGTTTTAGAATCTCTGTCTTTATATTTGTGCCTTTAAAAAAAATATTGAACGCTAAAAATATTCTTTAAATTTCATAATCAATCAATTAATCTTAATTTTTTAAAAATTACTATGTTTATTTTTTTAATAATATGCATAAAGTAAAAATAATTAATTCATCTTTAGATATATAATTTATAATCTTAATATACTATCATTTGGTGTAGACATTTATTATATGAATCATAAAATATTTTTATTTCATAAAATTAAATATATTTAAAGAAAATAAGAAAAATTCTTTGGATCAATCGAATGATTGAAAAAGGGTACTGCCCAAGTTGATTGAATTACTTTTAGGTGATATTTAAAATAGTAAAAAAACTTGACACAACTTAGTTGGTCTCAGGTGACTAAGTTATGTATCAGTTCGACCACACCAAATCGACTATTGAACCTAAATATAAATTTTATATTGAAAATATTTTATTACGTGAATGTGATGCAGTCCAAACTTTAAATAATCGTATAAACGATACTTTTATGGCGACATGTTTAATGATTTATGAATATTTATATATCATTTTATTAATATTTATGTGAATTAAATAATATTTTATTATAATATATATTAATGTACAGTAAATATAAGATTTTCAGAACTGGACCGTCATCGAAACGATCAAGCTATTTTATTAAATCATTTGTGGTTCGTTTAGATTTTAATTCATAAGCATTTATATATATATATATATATATATATATATAGTACTTTTTGTAATAAATTTAAATAAAATGTGTTACGTAGATATCTAAACAATTTATAAATTCAAATGTTTAAACTAATTGATAAATAATTTGTAAATTTCTATTTTATTTAAATATGTAATTTTTATTTAAAATAATTTTAAATATAACAAAATTTATTTAGAAAATCGTATCGATCCTACCAGTCCAACCGACTGGTGTTGATGGATTCGAGAGCAAATATTTTATTCAAGCGAACTAAACTGGTTACAAACTTGTTCTCGGTCCATCCGGTCGGACTGTGTCCAACCCGGTTTAATTTAAAAACAATAGATAAATCATGATTAATGCTATTTATATATTTAATTTATAATACAATCGTAACATTGTTTTTCCGTGCGTCGCACGGGCCACGCACTAGTTACTTTCTTTAAAACAAAAGAAATAAATTTATCACCTAAAGTTAATAAAATAATACTTAAATGAAATATTTGCATTATTTAAATGGTAACAACCGTCATATTTGACTGGAAGATTCTATACATCAATTACATTGATTTTCTTATTTTGAATTTCAAATGATTGGCGGCCATTTTTCAAAATTTTTAAAAAAAGTTACTAATATAGGTAATAACGATTTTTTTTTTGCGGGATTTCTACTTCTATTTCAGGTAAATACCAAACTTTTTATATATGCGATAAAAATCAAAAACGATTTTTTACCTTTGCTGAAAAATCAAAGATAAGTATAAATTTGTTTTATTCCATAACATCGGTTTAGTTAAAAAAATCTCATAAAATCGGTTGTAATGTCAAGCCTATGAATAATGATTTAATTGGTCAAAAATAAATATTTATTAGTTTGTGAAAATGACGAGTTGCCCAATAATCAAACTCATAATGTTGTATACAAGGAGGTCTTTAATAATATATGATTGTTTCTTTGTCGAATACTATCTTATTGTACAATTTTTCTGCGTATTATAAAACTTTTATTGAATATTGCATCTTATATTATAATATTCCCTGAATAAATATATCCCGTGTCTCGCACGAGTCACGTACTATATATATCATGTATATTTTTCTGTATTCATGTATATAATTATAAGCCTGGATAAATAGTTTTAAAATTGTGCACCACGTGCATCGCACGGGCTCTGTACTAATTAATATTTAAGACCAAAGATTTGACTAAATTAACTTAAAAACCAAATGATTAAGCTAACTAAATCTCTTCACGAGAGCGCATGCGAAATAGATTTTGGTTTCATGATTTGAAATCTTAAACCTCATGAATTGATCTCATAATTTTGGCATGTAACTAATTTACAAAATTTAAATAATGGTTGTGACGTTACGTTTGGGGATACATATACAAATAAAATAATTTTCCAGTACTTGTCATAACTCATAATTACTAACTAAAAGGTATTAATTAATTATGCAGAATATAGAAAGCAATAGTAACTACTAACTACCAATAAATCTCAGTAATGAGACGCGTAGATTATATATTATTAACCGGGGTCAACTTCTCATACATGAGAAAAAAGTTTGATTGCTGATAAAATCCTGATTATGAAATTTAAATATCTCTTCTAAAAGAAAATAATATTATCAATTAAACGAATCATTTGGATGTTAGCAATTAGTTAAATAATGTATTACCAGAATGGGAAAAAAAATTATTCCGAACCTGTATAAAATAATATTTTATAAATGTCACAAAAATCGTGCTGAAAAAATAGGGCAAAGGGTTATTATTTATTCTTTGGTTATGCAGATGTAGGTACTTAAAGAAATAATTGTAATTTTTGTCATATATATTGACATGATCTAAAATTATGTAACTTAATAAGAGTTCAATTTGAATAACTTATATATACAAATCAGTTATAGAAATGTCAGATGGAGTTGCATAATATTATATCCGATGTGTTATATATTGTAACTAGTATAATACTCGTGTACTACATACACGGGTACTTGTTAAAAAAATTATATTTAAAATTAAACATATGACTCAAATTTGAAGGGAATTTTAATATTTTTTAATAAAATCTGATTAGTAATTTAATCTTTATTATACAGATAAATGCAATTGTTTTTTTTTTTCTTTTTATATAGAATATGAATGAAAAAACAATCTGGATGAAGAAATATATAATGTCATAGAAGTTATATGAAAAATTAAGAATAAATAAATAATATTAAATTTGGAAAAATGAGAGATTTCATTTTGATCGTAACATTCAATTTAGAAAAGTGAGAAATTTATAAAACACATTTTAAGGCTGTATTAGTCATATATAACCAATAGTAAGTAAATTTACAAAACAAATTAAGGACCCAAGTTAGCTTTCCAATGTTTATGGAATGTTCGAACCTAAAATTATTGATTTAGAATAACATTATTTTTTATTCAAACCAAATTACGAAGCATAATTTTTTGCCAAGTAGGATTTTGAAGCGCGTGAGTCTGCCATTTAAGGTCAAGGCATTTAACTAATTATTAAAAGAATATTTTTTTTCTTACACCATCTCCAACCTTTATATCTACTTTATTACGGATTTTACTCTATTTTAGTATAGAGTAAAACTCCATAGCAACATTGGAGTTGCTCTTAAAATATCACATTAGACACCCGTGCGCGCTATCTATCAATGGCGGCTCAGAATTCAAACCCTACCCCGACAGTACACACACTCCTTTAATTACCATCATTAATTAATGCCATGCTTCCAAATAGATCATTCTTTCTCTCTCACATAAACACACGTATTTATATGGGCTTGTATTTGAGTATTTCTTTCACTTTTCTTTTTCTTTTCTTTTTTCTTTTGGGTAGTGCGATGGCGGGTTGTCCTGTCAGCCAAACAGAGGAAAAAGAAGAATTATAAAAAATACAGGGGTCGTCGGGTCGATCTGGAGAAAATTTAAAACGAAATCGAAAATGGTGGCAGACAAAAAAAGCACCAACAATTGATTATTACCAATATAATGTAAATCATACNATAATAAAATGGTATTTGTTTGAAATGAAATCATCTCAATTCTCAAATATCAAAATTTAACACCAAGTAAATTATACGAGTTAAATTCTAAAAAAAATGGTAGGTAAATTTGATGGGTAAAATTTGATACAATGCTCACAATTATATAGCGTCCAATAAGTACAATTACAATCTTCAAGTTGAAATCTAATACAAAAATTGTTAAGTAAATTATGAAAATGATATATAAGTTCAACAGTAAAATCAAATACATAATTTCTATAAATTTTTGTATGTATATATATATATTTATTTTATTTCTTGTTCAAAATTATTTTATTTTGTCAAATATAGGGATTCATTTTCTATGACTCGTGAAAATACAAAATTATTCATTCTAAGATCTGTCAGTGTTAGCCATAGATAGACCTTGACACTTACTCCTCATAAACACATTAAGAAATGCTCATCAACGCATAACATTTCAATATTATACCGTTGTCAATTGTGTAACTTTTTGTGTTAAACTTAAATCTATTCAATTTTACATATTGACTATACTATTAATTTAATGAAAATGGAAAATGATATAGAAAAAATCAGGCCACTCCACTTGTGGGCCCCCTTTTTCTAGCCTAACCTACAATATTTATATGACCCCTAGCCTCTACTCTAAAGCCATCCCAAAACTCACTCTTTTAATACTCACTTTTCACTCTCCGCCACATAATAACATACCTTTAAGTTAGTCAAATTAATTCTCTAAAATGGCGGATGTTGGCGGTGGCTCCGCCGTTGGCCGGAGAATATGCCATATCCCGGAGAAATTCCAGCTTCACTTGGCCATGTTGGCCCTTCAATTCGGCTATGCCGGCTTTCACGTCGTGTCTAGGGCCGCCCTTAATATGGGCATCAGCAAAATCGTGTTCCCTGTTTATAGGAACATTTTAGCCTTCCTTTTGCTCTTGCCCTTTGCCTATTTTCTTGAGAAGTAATTTCTTTTTTTCCTTGTCTTGTTCAAATTCCTTGTTGTACCCTCATTAAGTTATATGAACAAATAATTAACATTTGTTGATATATGTTAATTTTGGTTCATGAAATTAATAAATTTATAAATAATTTTGTTTGATTAATTAATTACTTTGACAGGAAAGAGAGGCCGCCTATAAGTTGGAGCCTTGCCATCCATTTTTTCCTCCTTGCCATTGTGGGGTATGAATGATATTTCACATGTAATATGATTTATTTGAAAAAAAAGTACAATAATTATGTAACGTAATTTATTTGAAAAAATAAATTAAAATTGCAGGATCACTGCAAATCAAGGATTCTATTTGTTGGGACTGGACAACACATCCCCAACTTTTGCTTCGGCAATTCAAAATTCAGTGCCGGCCATCACCTTCCTCATGGCTGCCATACTCAGGCAAGACGTTGCCCAATCTTTTACTCTAACATTATTATTGTTTTAGGTAATTAGTAAAAAAGAAAAAGAAAACAAAAGAGTATATCACTTTTTGAAGAAAAAATTGTAAATTTAGTCCAACAAAATTGATCTGAGTTCCCAAATTAATCCCACAAAGTGTAAGAGTGTCCACTAGAAAAATTATTTTATTTCACTTTATTCTCTACAAATCTCATATTTTCTAATAAAAATATCATTTATGTATTCACATATTTATAATAATTCGTTTTATGATTGATATTTTATTTATTTATATTACATTAATTTTTAATCGTTACATATTTATCCTATAACCTTACCGAAATAATTATTAAAACTAACAAATTCTTAGGAAAAAGAACTAGCAAAATATTTATCCCATTTGATTCAGCACAAAATTGGTCTCAAATTGTTGAACGGTTTGACTAACAATTGATCAAAATTCCAACCAAATGAAATAAAATAAAAGATACTTTTCACACTTTCTTGGGATTAAATTCCCAACACAATCATTTACTCCCACACTTTTTAAATATAATATAATATCACCATCATTTGTCACCCAAGATTTTCCAAATTTTTCCTTTAGGCGCCAATTACTTGAAAAAAATGACACGTCAGCTTCTCCCATAACTTTCCCAAAAAAAAAATAAATAAATAAATAAAAATGTTTCCCAACAGGATCGAGAAAGTGAGGCTTGACAGAAAGGACGGCATCTCGAAAGTGGCCGGCACGCTCCTGTGCGTGGCTGGCGCGTCCGTCATCACCCTCTACAAGGGCCCCACCATCTACAGCCCTTCTCCCCACCTCCAGCTGGCCGCCGCCCTACAGCCGCCGCAACCAACCCTTCCGGCGGCCGCCGCCGGCAAGAGCTGGACCCTCGGCTGCATATTTCTCATCGGCCACTGCCTGTCGTGGTCCGGCTGGCTCGTGCTCCAGGCACCCGTACTCAAGAAGTACCCGGCTCGACTCTCCTTCACCTCATACCAGTGCTTCTTTGGGATCGTGCAGTTTCTCGTCATTGCCGCATTTGTCGAGCGGGACCCACAGGCCTGGCTCGTCCACTCTGGAGCCGAGCTGTTTAGCGTCTTCTATGCCG